CTTGGGGCGATCTGAAGCCCCCCTTGGCGCCCTCTTGGAGCCCCCTTGGGCCCGATGGGGTACCTCTTGGAGCTCTCCTGGGGCTCTCCTGGGGTTCGCGCTGTCAACGTCGGTTTCGACAGCGCGAGCCTCTGCTCTCTCAGGAGACTCTGGGAGTTCTCTTGGGGCCAAAGCCGCTCATGACGCCCTCTTGGAGCCCTCTTGGGCCTGATGTGGCCCCTCTTGGAGCTCTCCTGGGGCGCTTTCGCTGGGGGCCCCTTGGAGGCTCAAAGTGGCCCCAAAAAGCGACAAGGAAGAAAGGGAAATGAGAAAGGAATAGGAGACCACCGACGAGGGAAAGGAGCAGCGGAAAGGGCACGAAGAGGAAGGGAAGGAGGAGGAAGAGGATGGGGGAGGAGAAGGAGAAGCAAGACGAGGAGGAGTACGAGGATTAAGAGCGCCCCGGATCGGCGGCACTGGCAGGAGGCCACTACAATATAAGCTAAAGCTAAGCTAACGCGAAGCTACAGCTAAGCTAAGCTAAGCTAAGCTAAGCTAAGCTAACCTAAGCTACAGCTAAGCGAAGCTAAGATGAAGCTAAGCTGAGCTAAGCTAAGCGAAGCTACGCTAAGATGAGATAAGCAACGCTAAGTCACTGGGGGAACCGCGGGGCGGATCCTGGGGGAACCGCCCGGGGCGTGGACCACTGCCCGGCCCTTTAAGATTATAAAGTAAGAACCCTTCTAGGCAGAGCCTAGGTCGGGAAATATACTGGTGTAGACAATGTATGTAGATGTACTTAACTCGCACGCACGCATGAGTGCATTCTTATAACACTTATTTCTGACTTGAAGATCGTCGGACCGCGAAAGACGAGCCTGAATCCGACGCCGCAATCCAATTCGGAATCCCCTCCGTTCTCTTACCCGAAAACGCCTGCAATCGCTTCCAACATCAAACAAAAACCTTCAACCCACGAGGGCGCACCCAAAACATAACAAATTATCCCGGCAAAGCAACCTAACAGCGATGTGTAGGAGCATATCTGGAAGCATTCCCCTTAAGAACTGGATGAGAATCCAGTTGTAGAATTCTGCTGTTCTCGCAGTCGTAGTCGCATTCGCGATGACAGTCGCAGTGGCAACGGCAGTCGCAGTCACAGCCTCAGCCTCAGCCTGCCTCAGCCTCAGCCTCAGCCTCAGCCTCAGCCTGCAATCAGTCTGCCTTCAGCCTCGGCCTCAGCCTCAGCCTCAGCCTCAGCCTGCAGCCTCAGCCTCAGCCTCAGCTCAGCCTCAGCCTGCCTCAGCCTCAGCCTGCCTCAGCCTCAGCCTCAGCCTGCTTCAGCCTCAGCATCAGTCTGCCTCAGCCTCGGCCTCAGCCTCAGCCTGCCTCAGCCTCAGCCTTCAGCCTCAGCCTCAGCCTCAGCCTGCCTCAGCATCAGCCTGCCTCAGCCTCAGCCTCAGCCTCAGCCTGCCTCAGCCTCAGCCTCAGCCTGCTTCAGCCTCAGCCTCAGTCTGCCTCAGCCTCGGCCTCAGCCTCAGCCTGCCTCAGCCTCAGCCTGCCTCAGCCTCAGCCTCAGCCTGCCTGCCTCAGCCTCAGCCTGCTTCAGCCTCAGCCTCAGTCTGCCTTCAGCCTCGGCCTCAGCCTCAGCCTCAGCCTCAGCCTGCATCAGCCTCAGCCTCAGCCTCAGCCTGCCTCAGCCTCAGCCTGCCTCAGCCTCAGCCTCAGCCTGCCTCAGCCTCAGCCTCAGCCTGCTTCAGCCTCAGCCTCAGTCTGCCTTCAGCCTCGGCCTCAGCCTCAGCCTGCCTCAGCCTCAGCCTGCATCAGCCTCAGCCTCAGCCTCAGCCTGCCTCAGCCTCAGCCTCAGCCTCAGCCTCAGCCTCAGCCTGCCTCTGCCTCAGCCTCAGCCTGCTTCAGCCTCAGCCTCAGTCTGCCTTCAGCCTCGGCCTCAGCCTCAGCCTGCCTCAGCCTCAGCCTGCATCAGCCTCAGCCTCAGCCTCAGCCTCAGCCTGCCTCAGCCTCAGCCTGCCTCAGCCTCAGCCTCAGCCTGCTTCAGCCTCAGCCTCAGTCTGCCTTCAGCCTCGGCCTCAGCCTCAGCCTGCCTCAGCCTCAGCCTGCTCAGCCTCAGCCTCAGCCTGCCTCAGCATCAGCCTGCCTCAGCCTCAGCCTCAGCCTGCCTCAGCCTCAGCCTCAGCCTGCTTCAGCCTCAGCCTCAGTCTGCCTTCAGCCTCGGCCTCAGCCTCAGCCTGCCTCAGCCTCAGCCTGCATCAGCCTCAGCCTCAGCCTCAGCCTGCCTCAGCATCAGCCTGCCTCAGCCTCAGCCTCAGCCTGCCTCAGCCTCAGCCTCAGCCTGCTTCAGCCTCAGCCTCAGTCTGCCTTCAGCCTCGGCCTCAGCCTCCTGCCTCAGCCTCAGCCTGCATCAGCCTCAGCCTCAGCCTCAGCCTGCCTCAGCATCAGCCTGCCTCAGCCTCAGCTCAGCCTGCCTCAGCCTCAGCCTCAGCCTCAGCCTGCTTCAGCCTCAGCCTCAGTCTGCCTTCAGCCTCGGCCTCAGCCTCAGCCTGCCTCAGCCTCAGCCTGCCTCAGCCTCAGCCTCAGCCTGCCTCAGCATTCAAAATGTGGCCCGGGAATGGAATTCTGGGAACTCGAAGAACACGAAGTGGCCTACAGTTGGCTCCGGGCATTCAAAATCATGCCCAGGAATGGAGTTCTGGGAACTCGAAGACCACGAAGTGGCCTACAGTTGGCTCCGGGCATTCAAAATGTGGCCCGGGAATGGAGTTCTGGGAACTCGAAGACACGAAGTGGCCTACAGTTGGCTCCGGGCATTCAAAATGTGGCCCGGGAATGGAGTTCTGGGAACTCGAAGACCACGAAGTGGCCTACAGTTGGCTCCGGGCATTCAAAATGTGGCCCGGGAATGGAGTTCTGGGAAGTCGAAGAGCACGAAGTGGCCTACAGTTGGCTCCGGGCATTCAGAATGTGGCCCGGGAATGGAGTTCTGGGAGGTCGAAGAGCACGAAGTGTGTGACTGTTTGCGAAAAACGCATTCGGACACGAGTTCGGACACAGCTCCCCGGGTCCCGCCCCGACCCCCCTGTGGAGTCATCTGCTGCTCTCTTTTGACACCACTAGAAACCTATCAGCACAAGCTGTTAGGTAAACATATCTCCAGGACATGTCTGGAAATATCCCGCTTCACCGTCGCTTACCCCCCTGGGCCCGAACTACCCCCTGCAACCGCGACAACTTACACAATAGAATTCTGCTTAAAACTCCCCCTGGGCCCGAAGCCCCCACACGGAGGGAACAACCCCGCAAGTGCGACGAACTCCATAGCATCATTCTGTTTCGAAAGAAATAAGCGGGCAATCGCGACGAGGCCTCTGGCCCACGACCTAGGCGCGGTAGCGGGGTAGGCTGAGGGCAATCATACAAACAAGCGGTGCAAACTCGCGGCGGCGGCGGTGATCCCGAACACTAGGTGCACTTTGCAGAAGACGGATTCGGCGACGGCGGCCCGCCCAGAGACTGGGTGGCGTAGAGGCTTAGTATACCTGGCGATATCATCATCACCAACAGCAGCGACAGCATCAACATCAACATCAACATCAACATCATCACCAGCAGCACCATCATCATTAGCAACAACAATATAAACATCATCATCAGCAGCAGCAAAACCACCACCATCATCAGCATCATCATCGCCAACGGCATCAGTAGCATGACCGTTACAATCATACGCATGAGAGTCATCAGCCTCATCAGGATACCCATTAAGTCAATAATCGTCGTCGTCAGAATCACAACCATGACAATCAGTAGCATCACCATCAGCATATTCATCACCACAGTCGTCATACACCTCATCATCAGCACCATCAGAACCATAATCGAAAACATCGTTATCAGCACCATCATGACCATCATGTGCATAATCATCCTGACCTTCATCGGCATCAAAACCACCATACCATCACCATCACCTTACCACCACCACCATCACCATCATCATCACAATCATCATCAGCAGCAGCAGCGGCAGCAGCAACATCACCATCAATACCATCGTCACCACCCTCAATATGACCATTCCCATTACGATCGCTACCGTCATCAACATCGTCATCACCGTAAACAACATGAGCATGCTATGCATCCCCCTCCCCCGCCACAACCCACCACCATCAGCAGCAACAGCAGCGACAGCATCAACATCGACATCATCATTACCAGCAGCACCGTCATCATCAGCAACAACATGATACGAATCATCATCATCACCAGCAGCAGCACCACCATCATCATCATCAGCAGCATCATCATCGCCAGCGGCTTCATAAGCATGATAATTACAAGCATCACCATCATCCTCATCATCAGCGTCACCATCATCATCAGGATACCCATTAAGTCAATGATCATCGTCGTCATAATCACCACGATCACCATCAACATCAGCAGCAGCATCATCGTCATCATCTGCCACATCACAGTCGTCATAATCATCATCACCAATACACGCATCATCGGAAGCATCATTATCAGCTCGCCACCATCATCAACAACATCATCATCCTCACCATCATCATCATCAGCATCATCATCATCCCCCCGGGCTTCGTTTTCCAGCCAGACGGCGTAGCACGAGTCGACGACCTTTGCGAAACGGAGCGGGCGAGGCCAGACCATTCGGGAGCCGAGCACGCATCCCTCCCCTTCAAAAGCAACTAACGAGGAAGAAACCATAAATTAAAAGAAAAACAGGGCGGCGGTTGGAGTAGATGGGGGTCAAGCTAGAGCCAAGATAGGACGGAAGACGCAAGGATGCTGCCACGGCTGTCCCACTCCGCTCTCAAGGATTTCCGTACAAGTACAAGGCATCCCCCCGGGCTTCGTTTTCCAGCCAGACGGCGTAGCACGAGTCGACGACCTTTGCGAAACGGAGCGGGCGAGGCCAGACCATTCGGGAGCCGAGCACGCACACCTCCCAAACCTGGCGGACCTCCAGGACCACCCGATCAGCAATCTGGCCCCGACGGGGCCGCAAACACCTTCTCGTTGAACAACTCGGCTTTAGACGAGGCCCACGCATTGTAGTAGATAGAAGCCAGGGCTTTACAAAGTCCAGGAGGATAAGGCTCGGCGATCTTGGACCAGAATGCACCCTTGTCGTTTTTCCCTTGGATGGGGATGCGCGGCTGGCCGGAGCGCTTGCATAGGCCACGCTTGGCGCCGAGACAGCGAGCCTCGGCGAGGGCGTCCATGCACAGCCCCGTGCTGAGGAAACCGGTCGACTTCCTCCACTGGGCGCCCCACATGCAGAAATCGGTGACGGTGAAATTGATCTTGTTGGATTTTTGAAGTCTCTGCATGGCGGGGCAAATCCAGATGCGGCTCCGGGCGGGGTTCTCAAGAGTAGCTGGCATTCCCAAAAGCATAGCATCCCGCGTCACCGCCACGAGGAAAACAATAACAAGTTGCCGACGCGAACCTTGTCGGCGTCGGCGGGGTTCAGGTCGTCGAGGCCCATGGGTGACGAGTTTGACCTCAACGGTGGAGGGCCTGGGGGCACATCGCGCGCCCGCGAAAACGAAGAGCACGGTGTTCCCAAGTGGACGCCGATCACGATGCCTGAGCGGATCCATCCTCTGATGAGGCTGCGGTTCCGGGCCAGACGAAGATCGTAATCGGCACCCAGCTCCACGTCCCAGAGAAGAACGTTCACGCCCTCCCTCGCGACCGCTTGGCCGAGCCGGCCTGGCCCCGAGAAGACCTCGAGGAAGAAGCGGACCTGAGGCCGGGGGCCGCCGGACAAGGCCGGCCGCGGACGATGGAGGCCATCGAGCGCTCGCAGGACAGCGCGTGGGCGCGGAGGTCCTCGGGCAGCTTGAGCAGCACCTGGCCGACGCGGCTGTCCTTCTCGTAGCGCCTGACCGAAGCCCACGACCGCCAGCGCCCGCGGCGCCTCACGTCCTCCAGGCTCCTGAAGCCCCCGGCGGAGTCGTGCGAGGCGCCGCCGTGCCTGAGCTGGTACAGGTGGACGTCGCCGAGGTACTCGTCCAGCTTGAGGCTCCGCACGACGCCGCACACCGCCGTCACCAGGTCCTTCAGGGCGAAGTCGAAGATCGGCGAGCGCGGGCTCCGGCCCTGACAGAGGGCCTTGAGCGCCGGACCGAGAGGGGCATGCCGCTCCAAATCCAGGCGCATGGACTCGTCGAACTCGTTCGTCTTTGACGACCTCCCGACCTCCTGCGCGTGAAGCGTGATGGCCCAGCAGGGGGCGCTTGCCACGCCCGGCACTGGGGGTATGAGGTCCACCCCCCTCACGTTGAAAATCTCGCCTGGCCGAAGGTACAGCTCGAAGATCACGACGATCGCGATCGCGAAGGGCAGCTTCCCCAACCTGACCAGCTCGTTGGCGATCAGGGCCACCACCTCGCGCGGCAGCGGAAGCCGCGACTGGGGAGGGCAGCAGCGCCTGAACCCCTGGAGGGCCCTCCGGCCCCTGGGCACGAGGGCCCCCGCGGACTTCTGGAGGCCCGTGACGAACGTCACCGCCGCGGAGCCCCACTGGGCCGAGCCCAGGTTCTCGCCGCCCAGGTACAGCGCGTCCAGCCACCCTACGAGCTGCAGGTCGACGCCCGCCTCGGAGGTCGCCACCGGGACGGCGAGCCACGCCAGGAACTCGGCGAACAGCGACTGGTACTTCTGCCGCGTCCGGGGCCGAACCGAGGCGCTCTCCAGCACCGTGAGCCCGCCCACTGCGACGGCAGAGGCCCTCCGCCGGGCCGCGACGTCGGCCACCGTCTGGCGCTTCCTCTTGGCCGGAGGAGGGCGGGCAACGGCTGGCTGTCGGCGCGGCGGGCCGGGGGCCCGCGCAGACGTAGAGAGGTTCGCCGTCATGGCACTATAGGGTGGCCCCCCGCCTGTCCAGCGGCGAGGCCGGCGGGGCCGCAGGCGCCGCCGGCGCCGCCATCCGTGCGCCGGTCGAGGTCGGTGCGGGTCTGGCCCGCGGGAGCATGTTTGGAGAAATCGAGCGGGCTCGGAGCAGCTGGAGCCCAGAGGCCTCGGGAAGGAGAGTCCGCGGCGTTCCACTCCGAGGGCAACCATCGATAATGCAAGGCCGAACCGGTCGCGAGCGAGAGGGCCGCGATCGCCTGGGTGACCCGCATCATGCTACGGCTGTCGCTCCGAAACCGCGCCACCGCCCCGGCCGTCGACTGCGAGTCCCCCAGGACCAGCACGTGCTTCCCAAGGTTCCGAGACGAACGAAGGAGATGACGAAACCCATACAGGGTGGCCCTAGCCTCGTACACGGCGATACTCTCCCCCTCGCGCCTCCACGGGAAGCGTCCGACGACGGACCACTGCAGCTCGATCATCTCCCGCGGGACCTCTGGGAAGTCCACGACCCGCTTGACCCGACCGAACCCGAAGACGTCACCGGGGCTGTCCAGGACACCTGAGCCAGCCGAGGGGGGCTGGGGGGGAGCGCACTCGGGCCCCGGGACGTCGTTGGCGGCGGCGATCCAGGGGGCAGCCTCGCGGGCCTCCCCCGCCAGGGCCGCCGCCGCCTCGGCTTTGCGCGCGTGGTCCAGCGCGTGGCGACGAGGTCCCATGGCCGCGCCGACCCGACCCCAGCGCCATCGCTCCGAGGTCCGGCCGACGCTCCGGGCAAGAGAGGCCTCACATTGTGCGGCGCACGCCCCCAGCCCCCACTCACTAGCATCGACGGCCACCACCTCGTCGCTCCAGCCCGCCCGTAGGTCCCGCCAGAGGAGAGGAGCAAGCCCATCCCAGAGAGAGAGTTCGCGACGTACCGAAGCCCACAGACGCTCATCCTGGGTGTAATTCTTCCAGACGAAGGCATAGCACGACCAGAATAGCGATAACCCCTCCCGGCGGACCAGGGAGAGGAAGACAAGATGCCCCAGGAGGCGCTCCAGGTCACGCCCAGAGCACCCCCCCCTCCGGAGGACCGCCCGAATGGCCAGGCGGGCCCCCCAGAGGCGGACAGGGGTGGCAGCCGCGCGGCCCCGGGGCCCGTCGATCTGCCACCCCAAAACCTGGGCCACCTTGTCCTCCCCAGAATACTCCTCCTCATGAACGACCAGACCCCGCCCTTCAAGAGCACGAATAGCATCAGCAACGAGAGAGCGAACAGCACTGACGTCAGTTGAGACGGCGATGAAGTTGTCCACATACTGCGAATGGCACGCTCGATGAAGGTCCGGCGTCACCTGCTTATCTACAATGCGGTTCTCCGGGGAAGCTCCGGCTTGTTCCGCAATGCGTTCATGAACCGTTTGACGCATCCACAGGGCCCAGCTCCAGCCCATCGGTATCACAGACAGTCGGGGGTAGACCATGGCAGACGGAGGAACGGGTTTCCCATTGACCCTAGTACACCCCACCGCCCCCGCCCGCACGGCCCTGAAACAGAAAAACTGTCTCAAATCGGGAGGCAACTGCATATGATAAAAGGCGTCAGACAAATCGGCCCCGCCAACATGCAACTCCTCACCCTCGCCGAGCTCCAGCCCTGCCAGGCCTTTGCCGGTGAGGAGGGAAACGGGGGCGGGGTCCTGGAAATGACAATTGCTTCTACGACAGTCAACTACCAGCCGGAGCTTCCCGGATTTCTTGTGCACGAAAAAAGCTTCAACCCTTTCCTTGCATGAGAAGCTGAAATCTACCATGCCTCGCTGCTGCAATGCACGGATGAACTCCTCAAAAGCCGCGACCCGACGCAGCTTAGGATCACTATACGGCACCGCGGCCTGAGAATGTTTCAAACGAGTATCTACCTCACTAGACGGTAGCAATCGGCTTTGGACGAAGTCCCTCATCATGTCCGACCCGCCCGCGCCCCACAGATCCTCGAGCGGTACCGGTGCCGGCGAGCCAGAGGGGGGCGAGACGCTAGCGAGGTTATAGGAACCGAGCACGGCAGAGTCCACATCATACCAGCTCGCCACGCGAAGCTTCCGGAGAGCTTCCGCGGGAGTCACCTCCGGCGGAGGCGGGCCGAGAGCGGCGACGGAGTCCCGAACCCTATCAAGACAGTGACGCTGGCCCAGCGAAACAAAAACTGCACGGTCGGCGCCCTGGCCGACGGGAGGCTGGTCCTGGTGAAGATAGAGCGAGTTCAAGGCGTGGACGGCACGATCACAGTCCAACTCAAAACTCTCGCGCTTACCCAGACGCTGTCGGACTGCACGGGAGAGCCCCCCGTCGGTGCCCCGATACCGCTCCACCGCCGGCCGCGGTAAAGGCAAGATGTCGCGGGGTACCGCACGGGAGGGCTCGCCCCCGCAATTAAAAGCTTCGTAGGGCGGCGGCGCACGGGGCCCGCGCGCGCCCCGGACGCCGGGAGCGCGAGGCGCAGAAGTATGCATGAGGGGGAGAAGCCCGGAGGACAGGAGGAGGGGGACGAACAGAGTACAAGAGGCCTGCGCTGCACCCTCAGAGCAGCGCGAGCCAACCTCAGATGTAGATGTCGGCGGAGGCTCACGACTTGTCGCCCCCGCCCTTCTTTCGGGCGGCTTCTCGCTCCTCGCGGCCCTTCCGGAGGGCCTTGTTGAGCTGCGCCTCCCGCTCCACGTCGACACGAACCACATCGAGGAGCTCCGGACAGATCATCAGCTGCCCCGAGCCCCAGCTGAGCCCCGAGAACGCCTGCTGCTCCTCGAGGCTGAGGCGGCCACTGTACCCTTTCGACTCGGCCTCCTTCGCCCGCTCGAGGTGGGCGAATTCAATGGTTTGCATCCTCCTCAGCAGCATCTCCACCATGGCCAGATTCGTGCCGTCGAGCTGGTCGACGAGGAGGCCGGCCTCGACCGCCGCCGCGAGGTGGAGGTGCTCGGCCACCCCCCAGGCGTTGGGCTCCAGGCGGCACAGCGATCGAAAACGATCGTGGTGAGCGTCCAAGCTGCCGCCCTCCGAGTTGATGTGCTCCAGGCACCACCCCGCCGTTCGGTCGCCACCGAGCGTCCAGTCCTTGCCGAAATCCTCCTTCGTCACCGCGGCACACATGTCCGCCCACGTGCGCTCCCGCCGCCCAAGCCTGTTGCGGCGCACCGGGAGGATGCGGGCGTCGCTGGCCACGATGCGGTCGAAGAACTCCTGCTCGTCGCCCGGCCGCAAGTACTGCACGAAGAGGCCCGAGCCGTCCGCAAGCCGGTGGATGTCCTTGCCCCCGATGGCGCCCGCTCCGGCCTGGTGGGGCACGTCGTCCCCCACGCGGAAGCCGCCGAAGCACTCGGCGGCGACCCAGCGAGCAGCACCACGTCCGTCAGCCGCGCCAACAGCCACAACCCCCTGCAGGGGCCCGACAAGCGGCGGCACACGCGCGGGCGCCGCGGCTCCGAGAGCAGCGGGCGCGCCCGCAGCGGCCACCACCGCGGCAGCCCCCGCGCCGGCCGCGGGTCCGCCCACCGGGACCGGCAGCAGGCAGTGGGCGTCCACCGCCGGGGCCGCCACGCCTTAATTGGGCCGCGGCCAGCCCGGCGCACTCGCCCGCGGCCTCGGGCACCGCCGCGGCGAGGAAGGCGGCCCGCTGCGCCACCGTCGGCTCCGCCCGGAAGCGGTAGACGTCCCCGGGAGGGATGCCGTCCGGCAGCACGTTGAAGGCCGTCGCCCACCTCACGGCCGCGACGTCGGCTGACCCTGCACTGTAGTCCTCCGCGTACACGTGCCGGTCGGGGTGGCGATCACGAAGAGACTACCAGCCGATAGCGCCACCTGCCCCAGCACCAGGCTCTGGTGCCAGACCTGCCGGGGGCCGGCCCCGATGTACAGCACGTACGCCCACGTCGCCATCGCTCACGGGGGCAGGCCCTGGCTCCGAGTAGTCCTGGATGGCGGCCCGCCTGCGCCTGCGACAGCACCGAGCCGCGCGCCGAGCGCTCAGCAGCGCCGCGGCCGCCGCGAGGCCGAAGGCCACGCCGCACACGAACCAGAGCAGCCCCCAGCCGCGGCCGGCGCACGGGGCTGCCTCCGGGGCCTGCGGGCAGGCCGGGCACGCCGCCGGCCCAGCCGCTGGCGCGAGGCCCGGGCAGGTCGGGCAGGCCGGGCACGAGAGGCCTGGGCACGCGGGCGCCTGGCAGGCGCCGCAAGCCTGGCAGGTGAGCGCCGGGCAGGCTGGGCACGGCGGCGACGCTGGGCACCGCGCGATGTAGTTCACCAAGCCCTGCGCGGCGTACTCTCCCCCGCGCTGCACCACCCAGTCGAGCATGGGGGGTCCGCCGCGGGAGCCGCGCCTTTGAAGCTTGAGCCAAGATAGGACGGAAGACGCAAGGATGCTGCCACGGCTGTCCCACTCCGCTCTCAAGGATTTCCGTACAAGTACAAGGCATCATCACCACCGTCACGATCACGAACCATCACCTTACCACCACCATCACCATCACCATCACCATCACCATCACCAGCAGCAGCACCAGCGGTAGCGGCAGCAGCAGCATCACAATCAATACCATAGTCACCTTCACCGACATCACCATTCCCATTACGATCACTACCGCCATCAACACCGTCATCAACGTAAACAACATGATCATGTTATCCATCCCCCTCCCCCGCCACAACCCACCACTATGCCTCCTGGCACGATGAGGCGTGGACGGCTGTCAAGTGCTGCCTGGTAAGGTTTCTTTATCTTCTACAGGACCCACCCACACTTCTCGCCGCGCCCACTTGCGTGCGCCACCACCCACTCATGGAGATTCCTGGGCGGTCATGGCGTCTCCCTTGGGCTTCCAAGTCTTTCAAGAAGGCCATCCAGGCAGCCAAGATTGCCCCAGTCTCAGGATCAGGAGCGGGCCGCCCCAGTTGCCCCAGCGGCATCCCGCCGCCGTCGGCGCTCCGCCCTCTTCCCTCGCGGGAGGCTTCTCCCCGACCACGTGCAGAGTCCGCGAACACACCCCAAACCTCATGCGCAGCCTGGCCCGACAGCTCCACCTCCCGCCCCAGCCGGCCCGCCGGAGCGACGGCAGCGCGCTCCCCGCTCCAGGGAGCGCAAGCTCCAAGCGCGCCACCTCCGGGCCGCCGCCCCGCGGTGCAATCGGTCGAGGTCCCCGCCGCAGCAAGCCCCACGCCAGTGACCCCCTGGCTCCCTCAGGTGGTTCTGCATGGCTCCCGCCGCTCCCGAAGGCTCCCGGGTCCCAGGGGACGCCGAAGGAAGGCAGCCAGCCCGAGGCCCGGCGCCGCAGGCTTCCCGCAGCCTTCCGGCATCGCCACGCCGCATGCGCCAGTGGACGATCCTCGTTTTTCGCCCGCGACGGCGCCGAAAACCCAGAATTGTGAACTCTGTCAGCTTCGAGGGCCGCTCATCTCGCTCTGGTCAACCGCGTGGCCGCTTTGCTTGACGACGCCTGCCCCGTCGTTCATTCCACGACCGCCCACGGGCACGAACGGGTCCTCTGGCACGCCGCCACTCTGCGGATGGTGCTGGGGACGATCAAAAGACCTTCGACCCCCACGCCTTCTCTGCCTACTAGCTCAGCCTCTTCATACGTTCTCTTCCCGCCAGCGTCCGCTGTGACGCAACCCGGGATGGGGGGACCCCCCTGCCGCTCTGGAGGGGGGCTCCGACGCCGCGTCCTCTCAGAAGAGGGCCCCCTCCCGCGAGCTTTCGTGGCCTGACGGGGGGCGCAACTCCAGGCGCTGAGCGTCCTCAATGTCATTTGGCCATCTCCACCTGCATCCCATCCGTCGCCCTCGACTGCCACTCGCTCGCTCGTGGAGTGCACGCTGGTCGCTCGCCCGCCTGTCGCGCCGCTCGTCGTGCCGTCTGCTGTGCCGCCTGCTGCGCCCTCCGTGCCGGACACCCCCCCCAGTCGGTGGTCGGTTCGTCCTCCCCGTCGCCCTGCCATCTAAAACAGGGCTAGGATCGGGATAAATCGCTCCAGAGCGTTCTGGAGCGCTCTCAAAGCGTTCCGGAACGCTCTGGAGCGGCCGCGGCGCCCAATACGTCCTCCAAACCCGCCGATTCTCAGAGATTTCGAGTTATCCCGATCCGATTTTGTCCCGATCTTCGCGTCGTTTTACCATCCCCGCCCGGATGGCATGGCGCTGACTCCCTCTGACCCCGCCACGCGCCGGGCCCCGGCCGCTGTAACTGACTTCCTTCGCCCTGCTGCTGGGCGCGAGGCCGCGGCCGCCCCAAAATGTGTGTGCGTGCGTGCGTGCGTGCGTGCGTGCGTGCGTGCGTGCGTGCGTGCGTGCGTGCGTGCGTGCGTTCGTGTGCATGTGTGTGTGCGTGTGCGTGGGTGTGGGCGTGTGTGTGTGTGTGTGTGTGTGTGTGTGTGTGTGTGTGTGTGTGCAAGTGCGTGTGTGTGTGTGTTGTGTGTGTTGTGTGTGTGTGTGTGTGTGTTGTGTGTGTGTGTGTGTGTGTGTGTGTGTGTGTGTGTGTGTGTGTGCAAGTGCGTGTGTGTGTGTGTTGTGTGTGTTGTGTGTGTTGTGTGTTGTGTGTGTGTGTGCGTGTGTGTGTGTGCGCGTGCGCGTGCGCGTGCGTGTGCGTGTGCGTGTGCGTGTGTGCGTGTGTGCGTGTGTGCGTGTGTGCGTGTGTGTGTGTGTGCGTGTGCGTGTGCGTGTGCGTGTGTGCGTGTGCGTGTGAGTATGTGTGTATGGTGTGTGTGTGTGTGTGGTGTGCGTGTGTATGGTGTGCGCGCGTGGGTTCCTCCCCTCGAGCGCTCCTCGACCCTCGGCCCTCGACCCTCGGCCGCGGCGGCGGTGCGCGCCGTCCTCCGCGGCGGCCCTGCGGCCCCTCTCGCGCAGCGGCTGCCGCGCGGGCAGCCGGGACTCCATGGCGAGCATCGGGCGCGCGCCGCGCGCCAGCGCGAGGGCGCGCGCGGAGGGAGGGCGGGGCGGCAAGCGGAAGCCGGCTGCTGCGCGGAGCTGCCCGGGGCCGCCGCGGATGTGCAGGCGGAGGAGTACAGTCGGGGCGCTGACCCAAGGAACCCTAAATGAGGAACGAGGCCCCTTTTCTCCAGAGGTTGAACTTCGATTTCCCTTCGAACACCTACAGGAAACGTGGGGCAAACTGTGAAACCATTAAGGAACACAGAGCACCTACCCAACGAAAAGGGTTCCTTCCTCAGCGCCCCGACTGCATGGACAGGGGCGGCGTTGGCACAACATGAGCGCTCACTTGGCCCTAGCCCCAGCTCTCCCGTGACCCCCCCGCGCCCCCGCCCCCCCCCCCGGCGGGCCATCTTGGGACCTGTCCTGGCCGGCTCCCCGTCAGGAGTACACCCGCGACTATCGGGGGGGGGCGCTTGGGGGGTTCACATGTGTTTGCTGTGACCTCTCCCTCCTCTCGCCCGCTCCTCCTCGTTGTGCCTGCTGCATCTGGGACGGCGTCCAGCCTTCCAGCTCCTCCGCCTCTTTTTCCTTGTGGGTCCCACCCCGTCCCTCTTCCACTCTCCCGAGAGGGAGCAGGAGAAGGGGGGTAGAAGAGAAGGGAGGAGGGCACCGGCATAATTAAGGTGTCCCGGCGGAGGCCCCGGCGAGACGCCGTGTAAGCGGATAGCGCGTCGCTCCGCTCTGGCAGGGGAGAGGCTGGACATAACTCGGGCCGTTGAGCCTTGGGAAAGGGGAAGTGGATAGCGTGTCGCGCCGAAGCGTCGTGGGGCAGAACCAGCGGAGCGACACACTAAGCCAACGTCCCTGATCGTAGGGAGGAGAAGGAGGGAGGAGGAGGAGGAGGAGGAGGAGGAGGAGGGAGAATGGGAAAGAGGAGGAGAAAAGAAAGGGAGGGACGTGCACACGGAGGATGGGGGGAGGGGAACAAAGGGAAAAGAGAAGATACGTGGATGGAATGAGGAGGGATGACAAGGATAAAGACGTTGCGAGGAGGAGGGGGAGAATTAGTGGGAGGGTAATCAGGAGGATCCTTACTCCTCCCCCCCCTTTCCTCCTCCCGGCTCACCCTCCCCCATCATCCTCATCCCACCTCATTCGTCTCCACCTCCAACTCCAACTCCTCGTGCCGCTTTGCAGTCTTTGGCCATCGCCTACGCTGTCGTGACAGCAACCTTCAGCTCACACCTGGGACAGCGTCCAACCTCCTCCTCCTCCTCCTCCTCCTCCTCCTCCTCCTCCTCCTCCTCCTCCTTCTCCTTGTGGATCCCGTCCGGTCCCTCCCCCCCTATGCCGAAATTGGGACGAGAAGGAGCAGGAGAAGGAGGAGGAGGACCAGAGGGGTGGAGGCGCTGGAGGACAGTAGAAGAGGGCGGGAGGGCCGATGTGATCAGAAGAGGAGGATGATCCGCCGACACCTTTCCCCCTCCCCAAGGGGCTAAAATGCAGACTGAAGGGGGGGGGGGGGCCAAGGGCCCATGAGCTTGTCAACGCTTCTCCCGGGGCATCTGGAGCCTCTGGAGAGCCACAGGACGGCCCAAGAAAGCCCTAGCTGAACGCCAAGATAGTCGAAGAGAGCGTCGAGCCGGCCCAGGGCAGTCCCACAACGGTCCAAGATAGCTCGAAGGCGGCCCAAGATGCCCCGAAGAGGGCCCACGAGTGCTTCTAGAGTTTTTTATAACAAAAAAACCTTAAGAAGCTTGTCGAGACAGTAAACACAAGTGTTTCTGCCGAGACCATCGCTGTTTCTGCCAAGACCACCATCCCTTCCCCCTTGAAGATCATGTTCCTAAACCGTGTACATCACCAGTGGTGACCAGCCTCTCACTCCTCGGCCTCTTCGAAATCTTCTCCCTCCTAGTCCTTCTTGTCCTCCTGTCCCGAACGCTCGCGCACCAAATTCGAAACAGTCTGGCAGGCCTTGATGCACTTGCCCGTTAGCTCGGCCCAGTCGGCCAGCTTCATCTTGCCGACGAGGAGCCCGTCGACCGAGTCGATGAACTCGCGAACATTTCCGGTGCTGTACCAGTCGGTGGCACCTAACTGGATCTTGCTCGTCCATGCGTGGCGGCCAGGGGAACCAAATCCGAAATGAAACGGACGGAGGGCCTGCTGTTCGCTTATGGTCAACGACTTCTCGAGCAGGCGCTGCCGGGCCAAGGCCGTTTTGCCTGTGGACCCGCAGATCAAACTCAAGAATTGATCGACCTGGAGAGCCTACCACTCCGACAGATGTTCGGGCTTCGGTGCGAAGCCTATGAGGCCCCAGAGATTGTCGATGCCAAAGGCGGACAGAGCCACTTCCGGCGTCGTTCCGATGAACGCATTGCGCGTGCAAGGCTGGCCGTTCAGATCTGAGTAGGCAGTCCTTATGTGCACGCCCACGGAGAACATGAGG